AGTTATATAATGTTTATCAGTATGAATGAATTTCTGTTCTATTCTATTATGGTCGGTCAGTCGGTAGCCAAGCGGTTCGGCGTGGGTGATTTGTTCACTCACTCGAATTGACTGCCGTCTTGGTCGGTGGTTTAAAGGTAAGACCTCGTTAATCCTTAGCTCGCACAAGTTTCTACTTCTGAGGGTTGTTGTTCGTAGGGGTGCGACAGCTGGTTAACGGAAAAACAGATTTTTGAACAGATCAGGAGATAACTGAAACTAATTCAGTCATACCATATTGAGGTTAACTTGGGTTGTAGAATGCGCGTCGAAATACAGTGTTATTGTTCTGGTGTGGGAAGCCATTACAGATGATCAGTGCCATCAAAGCTAGTACACTCTCATGGTACACTCTCATGAGTTATACCTATCATAAGATATTTCAGTTTTCAACGATAATAGTCCGCACTGGAGTACATCAAGTACTTATTTATTTGATGCCATTCTATTTCAGAGTTACAACAAAGAGCTGGAATTCATCGCTCATTGTTGGGCCAACGCCTGTAATGGAAAACCTTTGAAACACGATGTTTGCAGAAGAACAGGTAAGCAACAACAAATATATACAGGGTGTTTGTTTACTACGATACCATACTTCAGATGGTGACTCGTTTTCCGGTGACATTTTTGGGACTTGTGGAACACGGATTCAGGAAATAACTCCAACTCAATAAGATTTCAATTTTTTTCAGTTTTTATTGTCATTGAGGACATATACATAGGGTAATAGAAAAACAACCTAGGTAAGACAGTACACAATTGTACCCAACACGGGAATCATGCAAAATATTAAGTAAATCCAAGTTGGAGGGCGAACAATATAATGAGACTGCCATGAGGTGAAATATTGCTGTTTTGTATCTCATCTGACAGTTCACTTTCAACACCAAGATGTATTGTTTTTCATTCTTCTTTTCGGAATCATCGACAAAAAATATTATTGTATTATATTTGATTCAAGTTCCTAATTGCAATTCATTACTTTCAGCTGAATACAACTATGTAGGACAAAACTTAGGATGGTGGAGCAGTACATCGTCCGATTTTGATTTGAGGAGTGGCATAAAAAAATCGATCATGAACTGGTTTAATGAAGTGGCAAATTTCGATCCCGCTGTCACAAATTCCTTCGCCTCAGGGTAAGTTTACGGGCTGCAGGTATTTGTCATATTAATCGAAATGGATATGAAGACTTTTCAGAAAGTATGGAATTTTTTTTCCCCAAAAGGCTACAGTCCCTTCTGAGACTTATTCTCGAGGTGGAGATTCCGCTTCACGTTGGGAGCCTACATTCCAAATAATCTTCCTCAAATATCACAGAGTATGTGCTGAGTGTCAGATGGTTTGGATCAACCCAACAACTTATCGAAAGCTTCATAAGATTTTGTTTGGAATTATACGTTGGAATCTACAAGATATTCACCATGACCTTCACATCGACATGACCTTCCCAAGATTTGACTGTTTTCCAGAAATTCCGAGATAAAATTTCTCTTCTGAACACAAATCGATTGATTTCGTCATTATGAAACTCGTCATTATAAACGCTCGATATCCGATGAAGTCGACGAAAGCTGCGTTTGCCTGGTACTGATTGGCGAAGGTTCTACCGGTGAGGAAGTTATCAAAGTGCTTGAAAAGATGGTAGTCGGTTGGCGAGAGGTTTGAACAGTATGTGGTGGGGTATACCGGATTTCGTGTAGCTGCTAGTCGGTCTACCTACATTGGAACCACGAAACAAAGTATAGCTTCCCGTCTCTCTGAACATAAAAGAAATTGTCGCCTCGGCAAACCGAGGGGCAATAGAGATTCAAAAGCATAGGGATAATTTCAATAGAGAAAAAGACAATAAATATTATTAAAAGCTGGCTACCTGTTCATAGAGGTACACGAACACGAACGGGTACTAAAATTAAGAACGATATTAATAGAGCGCCCAGATAATTTGTTATGATTTGCTCTTCTGAAACCACAGGTATCGAAAAAAAACCACATCCTCTAAGATGGTTATGACTCCATCGAAAAGTTCTGTTTAATAAACACTAGTTATCACAACTCATCAAACATCATAAGTTTGCACAAATACTTCAGTCGAAATTACCTCATTCTCAAATGAAGGAAAATAAGATATGTTGAAACTTCATTATAAATTTGATAGGAATAGTACGAAAACAGCACAAATTTATTTTGAATTTGCCGGCTAGATCATTATTTGGTATTTTGAATAAACACTTAGCTTAGTACGGCGCGAAAAAAAGTTGATGATGATTGCCAGTAGACGAAACGTCGGATAGTGAATCAGAACACTGGACAAAATTATTAATGAAAATGTGTTTTTGGTTTTGAGCTATGCTGTCAAATAACTCTAGAAAAAAATAAAAACCAAAATTCCGATTTTCAGTGATACATTTTCCGAATATTTCCGGCAATACTCGGAATTTCACAAGTTTCGATACAGTATTTTGTCAACCACAAAAAAGCAATTTGTCCCAATTTAAGCCTCGACGTATTTCCTGTAGTTATACATATCGAGTGGTCCAACGAGAAGTATGCACCTTGCTTTTCTCCTTTTTTTGTAACTTAACACAAAAATGCTCGGACAGGTCAATTTTGCTTTTGAGGGGGACAAATTTTAGATGTTTTTTTCTATTTGTGCCTTCAACCCCCTAGCGAGGGTGAGTAACAACCCTAAAATTTTAAATGGAAAGTGGGGTCGAGTGATCATATCATTTAAAAGGGCACACAATTCTCTTTCCAATGATACCTAATTTGTTGTATTTGCTTGAATAGTTATAAAAAAAGCAAGAACATTTACTCGATATTTTTGGTGTCAATGAAAATGTGGAAAAAACGGCATGTTATCACTACTTCATTCCTCAATTTCTCTCGTGCGTTTTTTGGTTCAAATAACAACAGCAGATAAGTGTACAGAAAGAATTTAGGCAAACGTTCATTGATTCAGTTCGGTTGCTTTTGAAATTATTTCAACTTTACTGTAAAAATGGTTTATTCCATTCCTGAACGAGTTGAAATTGTTAAACTTTATTATCAACATAATAGTTGTGCTAGACTTACTGCTCGCCTCTTT